TCGTACAACTTCACCTTTGGGTGATGGACAGGTTATGCATTCGGGCAACTATGATACCCTTAGTAGAGTACAACATTGATGTGATTTACGGAGGTTTTATGGATTTGTCTTCAGGTGATGATATTACCATTGTTTTGATTTATGAGATTCTTGGGTTTTGCCTTCGGGCGTTGCGATACCACCTTAGAGATGATTTTATTGCTACGAACATTTTTGGCAAGTTAGAGTTTTAGAAAAACCTATATGTAGTATTATATACATGTTCAAAACAGGGGGTTAGTATGTTCAGAAATAAAACAATTTTCTTATTATTAGCATTAATATAAATTATGGTCTACTCACCTTTTGTTTTGCGCCCCCTCAGAACATAGTGACGAGGAGTACAGCCTGAGCATCGAGGTATTTCCCTACCAATAATCTTGCATTCTTCCACTTGCGTCTGGCTTCTTTTATGAATAATTGTAACTTGATGTCTTACCTTTCACTAGTACTTCCGTTTTGTGGTATGCTCTAGGCATATTCGTACATCTTATATTTCAGATTCGTGGTTGTTGAACATTCTATTTCGTCCATGTTTAATTTGGATTATTACTATTGCCTCTTAGTGTTTGCATATTCTTTGTGAATGTTGTTTCTTGCATAACTTTTGGATTACATGTCCCTTCATGTTCTCGCAAATGCGTATATCCACGTCTTTTGTCACTCTCGAGTGGCGGTCAGTACGTATCATCCATGTGTCATTTGGATATCTGGGTTGGGGCGTGTCAATCTTATCAACAACATATTGACAATTGTAAATCATATCAACAACGTATTGACAATTGTAAATCATAGTATAAACAATATCGATAGCATATTGCTAATACTTGTAAATAAACAACATTTCTGCATTTTAAAATAATGTAGTCAATTGCAGCTAAGAAAACTTTTTTATTTTTGTTGAAAAAAATATAGGGAGAAGTGATGCTTCCACATTTCAGGGTTAGGGCATACCACAAGCCTCTTTGACGATTTACAGATGAGGTCTTAGCCCTTTTTGGTTTCACAGATCTCCCACCAAGAGAGATTGCCGATAGCATGACTCAAACCTGGGTCTTGATCTATCGAATAAAACGATCCTTACCAACTCAACAACTCCTTGTTAGCCACAGCCTATAAAACTTTATTAATACATAAAGATAAGGATGAAACAAATGAAGACGACATAATATAGTAGGTTTGCTAAGAATGTTTCATATCTTTGCATAATTAATATATTTCACACTTGCTCAAATTAAATCCGAAATATTTGACCAAAAAAAAAAAAATTAAATCCGAAATGAATGTTGTCACCACTAGATCAAGTTGGAATGAATGGACAAGGATTGTCTGCCCTCAACTTCTGGTGTCCTTCTGTTTGTGTGGTCACGGTTAAGCCGCGTCAACCTTTTATATTACTATTCATTTTTGTTTTATTATATCTATAAAAAAACAATATAAAATGTTGACATGGCTTAACCGTGACCACACAAAACAGGAGGCTACGAAAAGGACACCAAAAGTGGAGGGCAGACAATCCTTGTCGGAATGAATATATCTACAGTCTTGCAGACGCAGCATGCATGTGTAAGCAAAATCGAGGACAAGAACTTTCACAGCCTTTTCTTCTTGTCTTTTGTCATGAGTATATCTTCCAAGATACTCAAAATTAAAAAACAGTGCATTAGTTGCATTTGTGTATAATATGAGGCGAAAGTTTGTCTGCCATGCACCTATGAACGAATAACTGAATATGCGGGTAACGAATTAACAGTTAAGAATTTAATAACAAATTTTTTTATTTTATACTGTACATCAATGCATATATATTGGAAAACCCGATTAAAAAAATAGACAATTAAGTTTAAGCGAGTTTTAGGCTGAGCCCAAATAATTATTATTTTTTATTTAAACCTTCTGACTAATATACCACTTGGGGTATAACCATCTTTTTTGTCTGATACAAATAAATATTTTAATAGATATCTTAAAGAGAAATTAGGTTCACATCCTTCTTTGGCTACTCCATTAATTAAAATCCTATTCATTTTCAATTTTTGATCAAGGTCCTTGGGTATTAATAACATCATTAATTATTTGAATAATAAAATATTTTATTTTTAAATATATTCCTTTAGTGTTAAAAATGTTAAAATTAGTATATTTATATTTATGGCTAAATTTGTTATCATATATTTTTATTTTTAGTTTGTACCTATTTTTAATTTGTACCAATTTTCTTTTCATTTTTAATTTGTACTCATATATTAGTTTCTTTTTGTGCCCATATTTTTTAGAGTTTTATTTGTGTTTGTACTCATGTGTATACCGTCACGTGACATTGTATATTTAATCCATGATAGAAAAATTACATATGGTATATTTATGTTTTATGCCTAAACTTTGTATCATATATTTATATTTTGAGTTTGTACCCACTTTTAATTTGCAACATTTTTTTAAATTTGTAGTATTTTCTTTTTAGTTTTATTTTGTACCCATGTATTAATTTCTTTTAGCGCCTATATTTTTTAAAAATTCATTTGTACTCATAATTTTTTAATTTTTTATCTGTACCCTAATTTATTTATAATGTACCCATTCTTCTTTATTAATGTACCACTTTGTTATATGTGAAATGTACCAATTTTTTTAACACTATGGATACATTCTTTTGCCATTTATTATTTCTTATTTTTTACATAGTTTTTATCCAGTTATTCAATCAAAATGTTTGAATTTTTTGTATTGTAACCATTTCTAATAGTATTATAATGAGGGATTTTAAATTTATAGGATTATAAATCTCATAAAATATCAAACAATTAATGTCAAAACTATAAAAATATAACTATTAATTGTAATATAATGAGGTGTACAAAGTCAAGGGACTTTGATCAAACTTTGAATACCATTAAGGTTTTAGTCAAAGAATGTTAAGGATTAGGTACCGCATCCCAAGTATCCCATATCTTAATCATAATAAACATCGTGGCCCTAGGTAAATAATTATGTAGGTAATTACATATCCCTTGGCAAAATAGTCATACAATTAGGGTTTAAATCCGCACATAATAAATATTGGGTTAAACTAAAAAATAGCTTCGTTGACTAGGCCTAAATAATAATAAAAAAAGGGAAAACCTAATTGAGAAATGTCAAAGAGACTCTCTTAAAAGTAAGACTTTTCATAGATATCTCAGCTACTTTATATTTTTTGCACAATGTTTTATAACATTGACACAAAAATTAACATTAAACATTTAAGTGATAGAGAATCTATGAAAAGTCTCACTTTGAAAATAATTATAGCGGATGAGGATGAGGGTGTGACTGAAATTAATCATAGCGGATGATCTTGAACCCAGCAATCACGTAATCAAGTGGTGTTGAACTAACTGGTACACCAGACTTGTTTGACAAGAAGGTAGCAATCAAAAACGAGGCTTTCAACTTTATTCAGATGAAATAAAAAGAACTATGATGATTGATCATGAAAGGCAAAATTTTACGTACATGTTACTTCAGCGAGGATGTCTTGGTTATCTTTAGAACTTGCATGTCACTGTTCTTCTGTTTTTACTAAATTTGGGTTTAATTCTTTAGGAAACTAGATTATAATCCCTAAATAAGATCTATTTTTTATTGAAGTTGGGTAAGATTAAATACTGATTTTGGTCCTTTGACATTATATATCACCTAAAATCTAGCTAATAATTATTAACTTTAGTTTAGTTTTATTTTTACTATTATAAATAAAAGATTTTTACTTAATGCATGTGAATTCAATACGGGTAAAAAATTGCTTAAGTGGTAACAATGCATATATGTCTATATGCATGTATATAAATTAATACATAAGTTGTGTACCTATACATATGTACCTATGCATATGTACATAAATATATATTCATGTACCGATATATATATATATGCCTATATATACATTTGTGTACTTATACATATATAAACTTATGTATATATGTGTACCTATATATATGCACCTATACATATGCACCTATATATATATATATATATTCATGTACCTTTATTATGTATATTGTTTATTGTGTTTGCATATTAGTTTATTTGTTTTGTTTTGTGATTGTCTGTATAAATTTTATATAGTTTCATCTCATTAGAAAAATATTTTAAAAAGTCTTCCATTTTAAATTGCTAAATTTGATTTGTAGAAATAAAAATTCATATTTTTAAGGCCTAATTGATGATTAAGTTAGGAATTTTAGAAAGAAAATTTGAAAATAATAAAAGTGGGCAGGGGTATTTAATATGATTGATAATGAGTTTTAAAGTGAGGGACTAAAACTAGATTTATAAAAGCATCCCGGTTGTAATGAAAAAATAATCTTCTTTAGGTCCTTAAGTCTAAATGCCCCTAATATAATATATTCTTCTCACATAAGAAGTCTTGTACATAACTGGTGTTTCTTATAGAAGTACTTCAAGTGTTTTTTCATAATTAGCTTGCATTTTTATGAAGGACGGGTTCAAAGAGGAATCTCATGTAAATATCATGAAACAAGGTTTCATCTTATTCATGGAGATTCCGTAAAAATATATATATATCTTCTCTAAAAACGTTCTCATTTATTTAAAAAAAACTTCCTAAATGAGCCATACATCAAATGTCAACTTACATTAACAATGACCCTAAAAACAATCCACTAATTACGCTAAATGTCAATTTATGGTAACAACAGCCCTCAAAAAAAAAAAAAAAAAAAGCCTTATGCTAACTCCTCACGCCAACAGTTTCTCCTCACTAAATAAAATAAAAAACTAATAGAAAATTAGGAGAAGAATGTGCATGTTACATTCGTGAGATTATTGATCGAGGAAATTAATAATTAAAACATAAGCAGGGTCCAATGAGATTATTAATTTTATTTAATATTGGTTACCAGAAATATATAAAACCAACCCACAACCAGTAGCATTGTCGTTCATATGGTACTCTCTCTTCTTCCCACTTAAGCTCGAGAAAGTACCAAAACTGCATACACACCATTGAAATGCAGGAACATAATAAGTTAGTGATCATCGTTGGGGCCGGTCCCTCCGGCCTGGCCACGGCCGGATGTCTGAGCCGGCTCGCGATCCCATACATAGTCCTAGAAAGAGAGGACTGTTTTGCCTCTCTGTGGAAGAAATACTCCTACGATCGTCTCCACCTCCACCTTCAAAAGCAGTTTTGTGAGCTTCCTCACATGTCGTTTCCAACCTCTTACCCCACATACGTGCCCAAAAACCAGTTTATCCAGTACTTAGAGGACTATGTGTCCCACTTCAGTATTAGTCCAATGTACAAGAGAAATGTGGAGTCTGCAGAATATGATCAAGTGTCCAAGAAATGGATTGTGAAGGCGAAAAATATTGGTGGTTCCAGCGAGATGGAGGAGTATTTTGGAGGCTTTTTGGTGGTGGCTACCGGGGAAGCAACCGACCCGTATACTCCGGAGATTGAAGGTTTGAGTAGTTTCAATGGTGATGTTCTTCACTCAACAAAATTTAAATCCGGGAAGGAGTTCGAAAATAAGAAGGTTTTGGTTGTTGGGGCTGGGAATTCCGGCATGGAGATTTCACTAGACTTGGCGAACCATGGTGCTAAAACTTCAATCATCGTTCGAAGCCCGGTAATCAAGCACATCGTCTAGCTTTGATTTTACTTAAAATTCTTTCATGTTTTCTGACGAGGCGTTGAAGGAGATATTCTAAACTAGTCTAGTATACGAGAATGGCACATGTAGACTACCTTGACTGATTAACCTAATGCACTTCCGCTTAAATTTGTTTCTTGTTTAAGACGATTTTGTTTGTATGAGCTAGCTTATATGATATCTAAATGTAGGTCCATTTTCTCTCAAGGGGGATGGTTTACTTGGCCTTGGTTTTGTTGAAACATTTTCCATTAAGCATGATTGATTCTTTGCTGGTTCTGCTTAGCAAGCTGGTCTACGGAAACCTAGCTAGCTATGGGATAGAGAGGCCACAAGAGGGTCCTTTTTATATGAAGGGGAAGTACGGAAAGTATCCGGCCATTGACGTTGGTGCCTATCGAAAGATCAAATCCGGCGAGATTCAAGTTTTGCCGGCCGAAATAGGCAGCATAAGAGGCGGCCAGGTGGAACTGAAAAACGGAAAGTCATACCCATTCGATGCAATCATTTTCTGTACCGGATTCAAGAGATCGACGAATTTGTGGCTTAAGGTGACTACTCAAACATTGTATGGTAACTATTTCGTTTTTAATTTTTAATATTTATTGCGTAAGGTGATATAGAAATTTGTTACTATTGTGACAGGGAGATGATTATCTTTTAAAAGAAGATGGAATTCCACGACCAAGCATCCCTAATCATTGGAAGGGAAAGAATGGATTATATTGCGTGGGACTATCGAGAAGAGGATTATATGGATCTAAGGAGGATGCTCAAAACATAGCCAATGATATCAAGTCATTTCTGTAATGTCCCAAAAGAAGAAGTAAACGGCCAAATGCACGAGAACTTACCTACACTTTTGGCTACCAAACATTCCAAATCAATAAGACGATGTCACGTTGAAAAGTTAAAAACACCCGACGTTGCTCTGGTCCAAAATGAGACGTTGGCGTACATTGAGTGTAGGAAAATATCTCCCCAAGCCCCACTTTTCTATTTTTCCTCTTTCGTTTTTGGTTGTGAGTCATCATTGAATGTGAATTTTAAATAAATAATAATGACATTTCATTATTTTTGTTACAGTAAATAACTGAAGCACCTTATGGATACAAACTATCAAAATTGTCACATTAGCTAAGAAATTACAAAAACGAACACCTTGTAACGGCGGAGCTGCTGCGACAGGAGCCAATTGATAAATAATTGTTGGCCGACGAATCATAACCATATCAAGTTGGAATGAATGTATTTACACAACAGTCTTGCAGACGCAGCATGCCTGTGTAAACAAAAAGGAGGACAAGAACTTTCCTAGCGTTTTCTTCTTTCTTTAGTACCTTCCAACATACTCAAACTTTAAAAATGCTGCATTATTTGCCTGAACTTTCCTAGCCTTTTCTTCTTTCTTTAGTACCTTCCAACGTACTCAAAGCTTTTTAAAAAGGTGCATTATTTGCCTTTATGTAAAATACAAGCGTAAATTTGCATAGTATGTACCGAATAATAGAGAACTGAATATCAAAAATTTCATGGCAAAAAATTTCATTTTATAATATACATCGATGCATATTTAATTTTATTCTCAAAAATTCCCGATTAAAAAAATTGACAATTAAGTTTACACCCAATTTTTTAAGCAAGTTTTAGGTTAAGCCCAACTAAATTTTATTTTTGATTTGAACTCTGACTATTATACCACCTAGGAACCTTTTTTTTTATTTTTTTTTTAACAAGCAATATTATTTATACTAGACGGTGGAGGAGTGGGCTAACAGTAATGTGGTTCAAATTCACCTTTGGCAATAATCGAAACTAAAACCTCTCGTTTATAAATGAAGAGGAATACCACTAGACTTAGTATTGAGTGGCCACCTTCTTTGACTGGGCCTAATCATAGCGGGTGAGCTTGAACCCAGCAATCACGTAATCAAGTGGTGTTGAAACTGATTTGTACATCAGACGTGTTTGAAAAGAAGGTTGCAACCAAAACGGGGGGTTTCAACTTTATTCAGATGAAATAAAAAGAAGCATGATGATTGATCGTGAAAGCTAAAATTTTACGTACATTTTTCAGCAAGGAAGTCTTCGTTATCTTTACCAGAAGAACTGCATGTCACGGAAATATTCTCTTATGAAAATGTTTTCTGGTTTCTTCTCACTAAATAAACTAAAAACTAAGAAAAATTAAAAGAATAACGTGCATGTTACAGGCGTGAGATTATTAATTAAGGAAATTAATAATTGAAAAAGGAAGCAATGTTTCTGTTACTTAAGGAATGTTGGTCAATTAATTAGTTTAATCTTTGACAAAAAAATTAATTAGTTTAATCCAATGAGATTATTAATTTCATTTAATATTAGTTAGTAGAAACATATAAAACCAACCCACAACCATGTTAAAAGATCAACATCAGCCTGTTAGTCGGTACAAAGGAACAAAATTGTTCTACATTTCCAACAAAATTGTTCTACCCGTTCGTCAGTCATCATGCGGCCATAAGTCATTTTAAATTTCTTATTTAAAATTAAACACAAATAATACTTAACGAAAACTGGCTATACGATGTACGATAAATGACTAAATGGATTGATCCTTAGGATCCTCACAAAGAAGACTTGGAGAGGGTCCTCGTCCGTTTGTTTGTACTTAGAATATACTACAGCTAGCAAAATGTGAGGCTATTATGCATCGCTTATAAAATGTGAGGCTATTATGCATACTTATAAAATGTGAGGCTATGATGCATAACTTATAAAATGTGAGGCTATTATGCATAGCTTATGTCGGTTGAGTGCATGATAAATATAGGTGTGTTGTTGTAAGTGAATCAACCAAGTAAGAAGTGAGAGTAGTCTTGTAAGCAATGTGAGTGGTTTAGAGTTTGTCTTTAGAAAGATGAGTATCATTAACTTTCATAAAATTGTATCTTTGAGGTTGTTGTGCATTAGGCGATCAATTTCGGTATTGTGTACAATACGCATTAGGAGTGTATATATATTGTGACGTTCTCTGGCTCTTTATATATGGCCTCACTCTCAACGTCTCGAGAAAATAGTGCACAAAGACTGATTTACTACAGTGGAGAATGCAAGAACATAATATAGGTACGGATTGAACATCTCGTTCGGAGGAGCTGCGTCACATTCCGGCATGCTGGCACCAACGGGCGGGAGTCATCACCAATATGTTCTAGAGCCGCGCGTCGGCGATTATCCACGTTTACATAATCCTGAACGCAGGACAGAAGGCATCGTGGTTTACTGCCTCCTATGCAAAGAAATACCTCTACACGACCAAGTACCCTCGAGCCATTCTCACATATCACAAAAATCAACAGAACCTTATGATAGTATTGCAGCTTCCCTTCACATTGTCTGGTTTCCAACCTACTGGCTGCGCCACTTTAACGTTGGCCCAAACACCAGTTTATCCAATAATAAGATACATATATAAAGAGGAATAATTGTGTCCCACTTCAGTACTTAGTCCAATGTACAAGAGAAATATGTGGAGTCTGCAGAATATTAGATCAGTGTCATAGAATGGATGGAAGGCGAAATAATATTGTGCAAAGAATCCTACATGTGGCGATTTTCTAAGTAACAGAAATACATTGCTGTCCAGTTTTAAATATAGATAAATCTCATAATTAATAATCTCACGTCTCTGTGAGCATGTATGTTACTGTTTTAATTTTTGCTATTTTTGTTATAATTTAGTGAGAAGAACATAAGAAAAACATTTTCGGTGGACCGAAGATATATTACTAAATCAGTCTTCTTGAAGAAAGAAGAATTCCTCAGCTGAATAGAGTGGTACGGTAAATATTTATAAGTGCTTTTCAAAAGATAGTGAATCTCTTCTCTTTCTTTTTACTTTTACATCTAATTGGATGATGTGAAACCCGAGTTTGTGTGGCGCCTTCTCCTACGTCTGATGTACATATCAGGTTTTTCAACGCCCTGATACGTGATTTCGGGTCGATATCACTCTCCTATGTCTCTGTTGCTCGCCCACGGTCTCACCTCACAGCCTGATTCATCAATTATTTCGTGGTTTTTTTAGGGGAAATAACCCTCACATTGCAGGCCTAATGATCTAGGAGCCAGAGTCAATGACGAAGAACAGCTCTATTTTAGATGGTGGGCCATTATCAGTACTCTTCCTATGTGCTTTCAATCGTCGTCATGGATTCTTTTTCGTATGAGCTGCGTATATCGTATACTAGAGGCCATATATACGGCGGAAACCCGTAAGAGCCACACGCTTTCTCAGCTGTTAGTCTCCCATTGTAGAGTATTTTTTAACTGATCCACTCATCCTTGTCTCAGTCATATTGATACGTTTGTTATAAAAAAAAAAAACATACATTTCGTAGGTGGTATGAATATTTAGTCAAAGGATTTAAATCAAAAGTTTAAAAATTATGAGGTTTGTGAGGTCTTAGATCCTAAAACTTTGCTTTATAATAAATGGTGAAAATATTGGTCATTTTGTTTAATTGGGGTAGATTTTCGAAAATATATGCTCGATGTATTAGTGATTTCGTATCAACTCAACGGAAAAATCCCATGAAACGAAAAAGAAGACAACGTGCACAACAAAATATTATGTATTTTTGATGATTTGGTAGGTTATTAACATCTACTCTCTATATTTGATCCTCTGATTCTGACCTCTCGCGGTAAGGTAGTGTAAGTTGGATGGTGTGATTAGATTCGCAAAGGGTCGTTTGCTTTCATCGTAAGGAAATAAGAAGGATGAATTTCTTGGTTTTTCGTTGAAGGGGCCCTGTGGACAGGGTTGATCTTGCAAATAGTTGACTTCGGGGCGGATCCTTCAAGGGAGGTCTTTATGGGTTTGTCTTGAGAGGAAGTGAGCAATCGTCCAACTTGTGGGTCTGATTCCTTTGACAAGTGAACTTCGAGTTTGCATGAACGGGGATTACAAAGGGCTTTTCATTTGGCGTTGACTGAAGACCTAACAAAAGGTTTCTCAGATCATCGTTCGTGATGAGATCTGTCGATCTGTTGAGGTTCCAAAGAGTGCCAGTGGGCTGATCATTTGGCATCAGTGTACTAGCCGTGATTGGTGTGAACTGTAATCGTTAATGGTGCATTTTCTTCAAGGGCCTCGGCTTGTTGATCTGAATTTGGTGCTTTAAATGAGTTTGAATCCAATGGCCTCTGGGGCTCTTCTTGATCTAGGTGTTGTAGTGGAACGTGAAACGCAGAAGGCACGAACGGCAGCGCTGGCAAGGCCGATGCGGGAGGGCTGATCTAATGGGATGATGGGTAGTCAAAAGGGCGTGTGTAGGAGGCTGATTGGTGCACTGTAGACGGAAGAACGCGCAATGCCGACACGAATGATCGATATTCAGGCCAGGGCAAGATCTGACTAAGTTATTTTGGTTTCCCTTTAAATAGACAGAATAGCTGTATATATAGGTCCAAGCCAATAATTAATAAAGTATCCAATGAAAAAGCTCCATAAGCTCGCATACCCAACACAACCAAAAAAAACATGACACACCACAAAAATCCCGCGTCGAAATTAAGATACCTTGAACTGACATTACACCTACATGCACTTCGCTTAAAATTTGTTTCTTGTTTTAAGACGATTTTGTATTTAATTTGAGCTCAGCTTCATATGATATTAAAGTGTGGTACCATTTATCACTCTCAAGGGGATGCGTTACTTACTTGGCCTTCGGTTTTGGTTGAACATTTTCCATTAAGCATGGTTGATTCTTTTGCATGGTCTTTCTGTTAGCAGCTGGTCTACGAAACGTAGCTAGCTATGATAGAAGAGGCCACAAGAGGGTCCTTTTATATGAACGGTGAAGACGGCAAGTATCCGGCCATGACGTTGGTGCCTATCGAAATCAAATCCGGCGAGATTCAAGTTTTGCGCGGAAATTAGGCACGCATTAAGACGGCGCGTCAGGTGGAACTGAACAAATGGCAAAGTCAACTTACCAATCTCTGGCACCGCAACATCATTCTCTTTAATGTTCTTGGGTAGGATTACGAATTTGATGCAAAAGGTGGATCTACTCAAACACCCT